GGTAAATACTAAACAGAATAATTGCATCTACTTTGGGAAGCATACAGGGAAATGGAACACAACACTTTGCGGATGGAAATGCCATGCCCCCAAGTTCAGTTGAGGGAGTGTTCTGAACAAGCATGTGCGTTCAGGCCCTGTAGCAGGACATATGTCTCTTTGATCTTCAGGCTGTCTGTGTGACCTTCTGATTAGAACTTAGCTTTGTGTGAGCTTACTCCACAGGACAGCAAAGGACCGCAGGCCAGTTATAGCATTAATATCCACTTGGCATATTTCTCGTTGCAAATTAATAAGTTGGCAAACTTTGAAAAACCTATCTGTCATATGGTTGATTGTGATTCCACCCATGAAAAAAGATTTCAGACCTATCTACTCTCAGCCTTACGGAAAAGTCAAGCTTTCTGACTTGATCCTGAACATTCCTGGCAATCTCTAGCAGTATCTTAAATGAGAACCACAATCTCTGGAATGGGTCCCCGTATGTTTCAACATACAGAATCACAAAGAGAATCTAATCTAATGAGGACCACTGCCTTACAGTATTGTCCTAAAATGGAACTGCTGGCTCTATACAATCATTTCATTTAAAATTACTTCAGACCATTAAAAGCTTCAAAAGCTCCATAAATAAGGAAACTTATTTATATAATACCCATTAAGCAGCTCAGAGAAATTTATGAATGTATGTTAGGGGATAGGGCCTTGCAAGCAAAGTGAAGAATCAATGAAATAATTCAAAAAAAAAAAAATATATATATATATATGCAACTAGGGTTTGAACTCAGGCCTTTGTGCTTGCAAAGCAGGCACTCTACCACTTGATCCACATCTCCAGTCCATTTTGCTCTGGTTATTTTGGAGATGGGGTTTTGTGAACTATTTGCTTGGAACTGGCCTTGAAACTTGACCTTCCCAATCTCAGCCTCCCAAGTAGCTAGGATTACAAGTATGAGCCACTGACACCCGACCCAAAATTCTAATTTTTAAAAGTCAAATGTAGTTCTCCTAATTCATATCAGATTTTTTGTTTTGTTTTGTGGTACTGGGATTTGAACTCAGGGCTTACATGCTTGCTAAGAAGGCACTCTACCACATGAGCCACACCTCCAGCCCTCATTGTAGCTAAATTTTAAACATTAGATAATAGCATTCTTAACAAAATGATGACATCACCTCTAGCATTGTTACAAACTCCATTAATAGTTCTCCATTTATTTGAGGATTAAGACTAAAATCAAAACTTTGTTTGTTTTTCTTTTCTTTCATAGTCTCCCTATAATAAAATGACTCAGTCATATATGGTTCCAAAATTTTATGTGAAACATTTTAAGTGAAAAAGTATTCACTTAGCATATCTAATGTGAGCCTGCATCAGATGTTATATTGTTACTATATTACCTATTCATGAAATTATTCATTTCTTCATTTTTGTGAAAGTCTTCACTATTTTCTGTACCATGTGTCAACAATACAACTAAAAATACAACTTAAAAACAATTCATATGGTTTTCTACATGAACCATAATTACATTACGATTTATTATTTTCCTGGAAGAACAGATCTGACCACTTAGGATTTGGCTTCTAGCTTTCCCCCATTCAAATGGATGTCTCTAAAGTTCTCTTTCTGTAAAACTTTGAAGATTTTATTAATTTTAGTTAAATTTTCTGATCTTCTTTTTTCTCTTTAGCACTTCCTAGGAAAGAATTCTACCACTTGAGCCACACCTCTAGTCATCATTTTAGCTAAATTTTAAAAATTTGGAAATAGCATGCTTGTAAGAATCTGATGAGGCCACCTCAACCACTGTTACAAATTTCATCAATGGTTTTCCACTGATTTGAGGATTAAGAACAAAATCAAAAACAAGATTTTCAAGATTCTATGTAGTCTTGAAGAATTAGGAAATAGCATAATTAATCTATAATTAGTAGACCTAGAATAGTCAGAAGACCCATTAAATAGTCAATGTCCTGTGCCATTACACATCGACAGACTAAGAAAAAGAATAACCAAGAGGACAGGGCCCATTCCATACTACAAAGGGCTAGAAAACAATGTGTAGCAAACCACATCTTATCAGTGGGATGAGACTGCAAATATGAGTACTTCCAGAAAAGAAGTCTAAGAGTTTGGCCAGTAGTAGAACCCAGTGATCTGGAATATGAACAGTGACCACGCCTGTAATAGATACTTGTTAGGTATCAGATTTGAAATAGTAAATAATCCATACCGATGGGCATGCACAAGAGTGGCTGGCTGTAAATGCCCATGTAGCAAATAAACATGCATAATGGCTGAACAGTAACATTGTCAGGTCATGAAAAATAAACTAATAGAAATAGAATGTGCTTCTTCTGAGTATGGACACAGGTAAAAAAAACACCAGGGACACCCAAAGAATGACTAACGTTATCCTGGTAAACAGATGCACAATGCAAAATAGAACAGGAAATGAGTGGGCATTCAGCCAGGGAGGTGGGTCTAACCAATAAAAAGATATATCAGCAGATATATCAGGACTTAATTCTCTTCAAGGTTGTTTGCTTTTGTTTTGAAAGAGCACTCATTTCTTCAAGAGCCAAGCAGGTTCCATATTTGCAGGAAATGAAATAGCAAAGAATTTGATAAGGCAACACTTAAGAAGGAAGAAGCAGCAATAACTAGGGGTGGCAACTTTGACACAGCAGGACTGCCCACACACAAGACACAAGGGTGGATGACTACCAAGTTGCCTGGACTGACAAACTGGGACTCTCCTAAACTCAAGGTCTTGGCATAGGATAGGACCCAGGGCCTCATATAAGATAACCTATACACAACTACAGTGGAGTATACCAACAGAGGAGGTCCTGATGTCAAGGTGTTTGAAATAGACATGCAAATCTTATCATGGGTATTATACTAAACTTCTAAAGCATTCTCAGTCAACTATGAATACTTTCACCATCCACTAGAAACTTTCCTGATTTTGAATCTCATCCTTAAACATTTATTCCAATATTTATCAATTTAAAAATGTAAAGCAGTTCATGAAATCAAATACTGAATGAATAATCAGCTATACTTCTCACAACACATAATATTTAGTCTTGAATAAATGAAGTAAAACTAGTTTAAGGAATTAGAATGTTAAAAAAAAAAAAAAGATAAAGCAGTCTCATGATTCCTACACTGAATGATGTCTGGATCTGGGAATTATAAGTTCAGAGACCATCACGAAGAGTTCATGCTTAGCACAACACTGAGTTGGCTTCCTTGCCTAGGATTCATTTCCTAAAACACACAGGTTTCCCTGGTGGGGGTGGGGTGATAGAATATTTTAGAAATAAGCAATAGGTGAGTCTTCCCACTATGAGCAACATTAACTCTCAACAGATAATATAGGGAAAAATGACCCAGGCATTGTATGCACATATGAGTAATAAAAAAATTAAAATTAAAAAAAAAAAAAAAGACCCTGGTGGTGGAACCCAGGAACCCAGGGGGAAAAAAAAAAAAGATGATATAGATCACTGAAATTCATAAACAAGAATGCAAAATGACCCTATAAAATTTATTTTATAAAAACCTAGTTAAAAATCTCCCTTACTTCAAATGTCTAACTCAAGACATATTGTTCCTGTCACTTAATTATTTCCCATATCCATGATAAATGAGCTAATATTCTGCAAAAGATGGAAAACAGTTCCTACCACATATTAGGCATTGTACACTTGCTCGCCAAATAAAGAAATTGCCCTTCCTTTGTGCACTCTTCATCCCACATCTGATCTATTGCAACAGCATCCTAACTGGTCTCCCTGCATACACTGTATCACTCTTACCCTTCCCTATCCCATCCCATGAGAAATGGAAATCGATGAAGTAACATTGTGACAGTCAACCACTGCCACAAGTTCCATCACGGGTTCCCCGCTTGTTTCAGGATGAAGACCAAAATCTGTAACAAGGTTTTCCAGATTCTATGTGGTCTAACCCCTTGCCTACCTGTCCAGCCTCACTCCTTGTCACTCTTGAGACAGCTACTCCAGCTAAACTTGCACATTCCTTCCACCTCTAGCACTTGGTATCTCGTCTGCCCAAATGCCGTTCTCTCAAACCATTAGCTACTTCTTCCTTCAGATTTTGCTTAAGTATCACTTGACCAGGGAAGCCTTTAGTTAAAATATGAATGATTAAAGGAAGTTAGCTAGATAAAGAGTTTGGGGGCTGCTGAAGTGGTTAAATGGTAAGAGCACCTGCCTAGCAAGCATGAGGCCCTGAGTTCAAACCCCAATATAACCAAGAAAATAATAATAATAAAGAGTTTGGGGCTGGGGGTATAGCTCAGTGGTAGACTATTTAAATAACATGCACAAGGCCTAGGTTTGAGTGTGTGGGGTTTTCAGGGGACAAAATGTTCTTTAGCTTATCTGAGCTCAATTTTACTCCCCTATAAAACCAGAAATTTTTCAGCTGATAAAAAGATAAGCCACAAGGAAACACCTTGTGTAGCTATCTTTATCTCAAACTAGCAAAATAGTCGTTTTTCTTTTTTATCTTTTATCTTTTTTCTTCTATAAAATCAGAGAACAGGAGGGCAGAACAGGTCCTGCCCCCTAGGGGGGTGGGTGAGACTGGCACCAGGGGGAGGGAGGTGGGGTGGGGAAATGGGTAGGAGGATGAATACAGAGCAAATAATGTGTACACATGTATGTAAATGCAAAAATGATACCTGTTGAAACTGTTCCAGGAATTGGTGGAGGGGAGGATAAGGAGGAGGGTGGAAGGGTGAATTCAAGTATGACATATTTGATATAAGAACATTTGTAAATGTATCCCCACCCCACACAACAATAAAGGGGGAAAAATGGTAATATGTGCATAAATGGAATATTAGTCAGCCATAAAAAACAATGAAGTATCAATACATGCTACAACATGGATGAAGCTTGGAAATACAGTATGTGAAAATAAGCCAGCCACAAAAACAAAACAAACAAAAAAAACCCACCTTCTATTAATATGAAGTTCCAGAGTAGACATAAAGTAGATTAGTGAGTCCAGAGTTTCTTTCTGAGGTGACAAAATGTTTTGCATTAGACAGTGGTGATGGTTGCACAAGTTTTTGAGTACACTAAGAGCCAGCACACTTTAAAAGGATGAATTTTATGGTATATGAAATATATCACAATAAAGCTTACTTAGAAACAGCAGAAATGGCTCTCATCAGACTCTCATGACAATCCCCTAAGATTTAATATGAGAGTATACACACACATCACAGATACCATAGCACCAGGCCATTTATTCCGATAAATGTAAGTTTTATTTCAATGGAATAACAGAGATTACTGAAATTTAATTATTATTGTTACAATTCAGGAAAAAATTTCTGAGTACTAGGAACTATTTAGGATTTATCTCATTGTGTGAAAATCCAAGCAATCTATGCAAATGTAGGTCCTTCATGTACCAGCCCTTATTCACACTTCAATTTATAGGACTGTGCTTAAGATACATCAACTTATCTATTTTATGCCTGTGATAAAAGCTGGATCCTTTGAAATACTAGCTATCATATAAAATTACATAAGCTAAATTAATTCTATAAATAAGTTCGGAGAGGAATAATATGGACAGTATGGAGCATCTGTGGCCTTAATTAACACTACAGATGACAATGGGACAGATCTAAATACTGTCTGTCACTTGCTGTGTCTTATCAACTCTAGGGAACTATGCCAATCTTTTAAATGATAGCATCCTTACTACACCACTGGTTTAACAGAATGTTCCTGATTCAGTTTTAAAAGAAGTAATGCCTAAAACCGTTGGCACAAAGACAAAATCCTGAATTTAGGCCATATGAATGTCACTTCATTGTTGTTACTGAAAGAAAGAATCTCAACTCTAATCAAACTTCAGAGGCACTGCACCAACATTCTGCCAGCAAAGCAGGCCCCAAACCAGAGGATGTCGGCAGTTTATATGAAAACTACCACCTAACATTAATGCAAATCACACAAATGCATCTTACAAACAACAAGCATTATTGTAATTAAAGATAAAGAGCTATATATAATAATACACACTGCTGCTAAGGTATGGTCATTAATAAAAACCCTAGATGTTTCTTTCTTTTTCCTTTTATGATGCAGGAGGGTATGGGTGCAATATTTGAAACATGAAATTTATTTAACGGAAAATATTTTTTTCATTTCCTATTTTATAAAGGCTATTAATAAATCAGGTTGTTCTCTGTTCTTCCCAATAAATTCACTAAATGGAACTTAATGAAATATTTTAAATCACTATGGTATCATTCTGTACATTCCTGTATCAGGAATTGTCCCCCTAAGGCATCACAGTATAGAAATAATAATCATCAACTAGCACCAGAGGGGCATCTATTTAGCCTCCTTCCTCCTTTGTTATTGTTAATTCACTTCAACAACACCTACTGCATCCCTGCTTGATCTCTTAGCTGCCTGTGCATTTCCCACAGCTTAACTGAGCATTAAATTTCCAGGCAAGAACAAAAAAGGCAATCAACCTACACCCTTGAAGAGGTTACACTCAAGTAGCAGAGAAAGAGTGAAGAGGGTGATGGCACAGAGACGTTCAAGGTGAGGCACAGAACACATGAAGCAGTAACTATCTGCTGTCTCCACAGCTGGGTCTTGAAGGCTAAATAAGAACTCTTTGCGAAGCAGACAGGGGTGTGGTGGGGGTGCACTGTGGACAGACAGAGGTAGTCGTGCATCCCACACAATGGTAGTGGCAAATATGTATACACAGCATGCTCTCAGAATGGAGTAAGCACAGCAAGACAAGACATGGACAAAATGAGCAAGGGCTGGATGAAGGAAAGCTTTGTTCCATCGGGGACAGAAGGACTATGAAGTTAGAGAAGGTCATTAAGGGCGGGTAGTTAAAAGGAAACTTCAGCAGCAACTGGAAGATGCAAACAGGACACAAAAGAATGCTATGGCAATAATCCAGGTGATCATGAGGAGAGAGACCTGAACCAAGTCAGTGGGTCTGGCAACAGAAGTCAGGGGAGGATAAGGAAACTTAGATGGTAGAAAGGCAACTTCAACTTCCAGACAGTGACTGAAAGGAGTGGCCTGGAGGGGGTACTGATGGTCCTGTACCATGGGGTACATCCTAATACTCAAACCCAAACCCAAGAAAGTTCTTTTCCCACTAAGACGCCCCTGACCCTTGCATATTATATGATTCCTTGTATCTCTGTACTCCCTGCTCTCTTCATCCAGTAACTCAATGCATGTGCTTTGTCTCTCGTGCACCTTAGTTACTGTGACATTCCATTTCTATTTTCCATGTTGGATTATATTATATAGCTATCTGCTATAGCACAATCTATGCTCAGTAAATGTTGGTTGAATCAAAAGTGTTGGTGCTATAAAAACAGCCCTGGAAAAAGACAGCAAACTATCATCCTTTTCTTAATGTTTTAATCCCCTCCCCTCCCCTTCTCTAATTCAGTAGAGTTAAGTGAAAATTAAAAAAAAAAAAAAGAAAGAAAGAAAGAAAAGAAGACAGCAACACAAGCTGGTGAAATAAAAAACATTCTCCCATTTTCCCATGATTAGGGCCTTATTAACATTGACACTAGCAATTATTTTCAATATTAACATTTAGAACTATAAAAACACCTTCAAGAGATATGTACCATAAATGCCCATAGGCAATGGGATACCCACAGACTGAGTCTTTATACTAGCAACTAAAAAACAAAGCTTTACAAACATCTGTTTTTGGCTCACTCACTCTTGGATGCAAGGGACTATGACTAGATGGGGTTTGGCTGTGGCTGGTTACAGGGTCCAGGCAATGACATGCAGAAATATTTAAATGGTCACAAAACAATAACTAGAGTTCATAAGTGCCTAAGCAAACTAAATATTTTACAAGACAAGCCATCATGCTACGATACTGTCCTTCCATAAGAACCTGGTAATTTTAGCTTCATTTTCATTATCTCTTACTATTTTAAAAAAAAAAAAAGTACATGTCAAGGACTGTGAGAAGAAGAGGAAAGGATTAGTAACTATAGTCTAATTTATTTCATCAAAAAATATTCTATATCACTAGCTTCCTTTTAACTAGTAAAAGTATTTAAAGTTACATTACTCAATACTTATAATTCTCCCAATATTTTAACTATGTATACCCACTTGAAAACTTTCCTAAAGCTAACATATTTTTATGCCATCTGGCAAAATATCTCCATGGGGAAGAAGCACTTAAAGATCAAAAATGAAAGAAATACAGACATTTCAAAGCAGAACATATAGCATAATACAAATCTCAAGTTGTATTCAGTCAGGCTTTATCTTGAGAGTTTTTTCTTCATGTAACATTGGGTTTCATATTATTTGCTCCTAAAACAAAACTACACTAAATAAATATTTTCATAAGAGCTAAAGTGCAAAGTTTTAAATGTAATCTCATATTTTATTTATTAATTTACTTAGGCACAGCTGGGAGCAAGAACAACTGGGTTCGCCCAGTTCTTTGCTACCACATGACCTTGGAAAAGTCACAATTTTTCTATACTTCAATTTACTTTGGGTAAAACAAACATAATAACAGAACCCGAGTTTACTTAATTCATTAACTTGCTATCATACTATAATTTTGTCATAAAAATAAACAGACTGTGATAAAGAATAATTTTCCAAGTGTTTAGAGATCTTCAGAGAAAGAGTACCATTGGAAATTACTAGAAATACTGACCAAAATTCACAGATCTGCCAAATTTACATTTCAGGGAGTTATAATCAGGATGATAGCCCAATGCCATTAGTGTTATTGAGTTACTTAACTTTGAAGAATAAGTATATCATCCATATCATGTTCTTAATCAAAAAATTTACTAGATATGAAAATTAACTGCAGGGAATGAGTAATTCCATGATAACTTCTATTATATTAGGGGAAAGTTATTATCACTGTGCTACACAGCCTGGTGTTTTAAGATGCTGCTTCAAACGTACATTTTGTGCTAACAGAACTGTGGAATAGTACTGGTGTCTGAGAACCCTGTCTTTGCCTTCTTTTTTCCCCCATTTTTGACCAAGTATGAGAAACTTTGCCAGAAAAACAAAACACAAATTCACAAGAAAACCAAGGCTGGTAAATTTCAGTCAAAGAAAATTTAAGTAGCAATATTACAACTGCCCGATGTGTGCACATCAAGATTTTCTCCTAGCCTCCACGGGATTTTCAACAGCTTTTCTTGTAATTTGGATGGATGTGAACACAGAGCATGCAAGGAATGGCCGTACTAATCATACCTCAGCGATCCTCCTGCTCAGAAACCGATACTTACAGCTGCTGCTCCAGGACTTTAACAAGGACTTTAGGCTAATTTCAAAGAACACAGAATCCTGTAGACTCAACATTGTGCCTCAATGGGCTGCCAAAGCAGCAGCAGCAGCGCCGGCAGCAGCAGCAGCAACGTTGTGTTGATGTGTCTGTCCAAGCTGCTGTCCCCTGGCCTGTCACAGGCAGCAGAGTTTTGGCCCACAGTGCCTTGGCTTCATTACCATGCAGTCTCGCAGTGACGCACACTATAGTGGAAGCAGTGCTGAATGCAGATGAACGAGCCACTTGAATTAAACCTCCCAAGTTTTTTACAAGTGCCCTGAAGGACACCCTCACCTTTCCTTCTGCAGACCTGCACATGGCCAAAATCAGCTCCTCTGTGTACATTCCTGCTATCAGTTTGAGGGAACAGAGCCTCTGGCTGCTTTCAGTTCATCACCACTGCTAGTACACAGACAGGGGGAAGAGCTCTGCCCTTGGATGCCAACTTTCCTTACTTGCTAAGGGCTTTGGAAATAAAATTTAAAAATGAATTAGGATCTAGCATAAGATCTTTAAATCTCTTGCTTTGATGGCTGACACCCTCCCCCAAAAAAATGTCAGTGGTTATTTCTGCCACTGCTGGGTTGGCTTCCTGCAGGTGATGTGAGCAGTACATTTTCTTCTCCCATCTGCACACCAGGCGGTAAGCAGTGGTTTTCTCAGCATGCTTATCACTGATGAGACAGAGCCCACTGCCTCTCCTACCCTACTGGAAATAATGCTGGATAGTGGAATAAAAAGATGATGTCATTAGTGCTGGCCGAGCCTCCACCGGCCTCAAAAACTGCTCAGCTCAGGACAAAGTTTTTTTTTTTTTTTTTTTTTCCTGCCACATGCAACTTATTCCAAAGAGATAACTCTGTTATAATACTCTGTGTTAAGTCACAGGGTCTTCTCTTCTTAACATAGCACCTATTGCCCCTGAATTTTTTACAATGAAAATGTCAGTAAACAGTGAAAAGTTGTCTGGTCAAACTTTATTCTCCAGAAAAAGTCTTAAACTGAAAACAGATATCCGTACAAGCCTAACTGCTCTTCAAAACTGAAGAAAATTTCACAACCAAAATAAATAATAGTTTATGTCAATATCAAACCAAAAATGTTTGGACTCCATATTATTTTACTGTCACTCTGGAGGTTCAGGGGCATGTGTTTAGAGTATGTAGCAATACATTTGTACTGATCTAGCTGTACTATTGTATCCTTTAAGTACTACAAAGAGTAAGTATCTGCACTTATCAAAGTCCTAACTGAATAAAACTTATTGAGAGCCAAACCGCACTGTATTAGAGGTAAAACATCCTTCCAGGCACAAGGACCATACAGTAAGGGGGAAAGGGAGTCCGTCACCTGTATTAAGGCATATTCAATGGTAGTGATATTTTGGGGAAGGTCGTTTGAAGCAGTATTTTTTTTTTCCCCCAGTGGAGTCCTAGAAAGGTGATATGGCCTGGGCCATTCCCACTCCTGAACAGACCTACCAAGTAAATTTGAACCAGGAAGCAGAGGCTGACCAACCCAGAACCCTAACTCCACAGTGTCTTCTTTGTCAGAGCTCTCTCAGGAGCAGTTTAGACCAGGTTTTCTCTTGGTATAAGGAAACACACAAATGACTTCAGATGTTGCCAGAATAAGGGGCATGCCACAGTCTAGAAGCCCTACCTACTGCATCCATTCTTGTGCATTACACTGTATGTCATCATGCAAGCAAAGGCTTCATGTTTTACAGAAACCAAGTTACTTCTTTCTAATGAAAGTATTCCCCAAAATGATTCAACAGCACAATCCTCTGCATCAAACAACTGTTAACAGATTCTAGGAATATGGTGGTCCTGACCCAAGTGAATAATACCATCAAATGCCAAGGAGCAGAATGGAACCATGTCAGCAAGCAATCGAGTCAGTAGGATCATACCCAGATATTCTGCCATATTCTCTCTTTCTCTATTGAACTAAGCTCACATAAGATGTTAAAACTACTTAATGCTATCTGTCTACGAAGTCCACAAGGCAAACTTTATGAACTGTACTAGAGAATCTACTTGCCATACAGATAGTCGGAGTATGGTAATTTTTTTGGGGGGGTGGTGGTAAATAATAGGTAATTTTTCTCACAAATTTGTCTTCATGGTTTGTCTACATAGACCCAAAAGAATAAATCAGAACCTGAAGTTTCTATTCTATCTGATCAATCTATCACTATGCACATACATCCAAAGCAAATTAGTTTCTTTGGGTAACAAATGTATGAGTTGATTTCAGGGCTTATTTTAGAAGTTTCATTTTATATCGTTAAGTTCACTATAAATAATGGGCAGGTAAGACCCACATTGCCTATTTATATGCAGACTAACTTAACAGGCCCATATGGGCAAAGCATGATTTTCTCTGAGCTTTATTCTGAAATGTAAAGAACAAAATAAATAGTGTAATTTCATACTAGCCACAAATATTACAGTAATCCTTACTTCATGGAATATCTTCTTTCTACCTCTCCTCAAACATTCACTATGCAAATCACTAAAGGATTAACTGGGAAATTTACATCACATCCAACAATCCTTCTTGAAGACCATGGAAGAGCCCACTGTGCTTCAATTTCCTTCTCAATTCCCCAACTACTAACCCTGTTTTCAAATTATACAAATAATGATACTGCCATTATTCTTCCAATGAGTGCTCTATGCTTAAACTGCCAATTAATCACAGAATTTGCACTAGCCTAAAGCTTACTGCAAGTTTATCAGGAGACCAGAGATGTCAGTTTTCCATTTTCTACTTTCTATAAATTCAGAATTTTCCAAGTTGTATATACCCATGTATATTTTGGTATTATCACCATTAAAAGATAGCTGCAGAAATTGTTTGGCAAAACAGAAATTTCCTTCATCTAAACTCCTCCTCATCTTTTGGATTAGATTATTTCTCATAAATTCACAATTTCAGTGGCTTGTTTTGGGTTTTTTTGAGGTACTGGGGATTGAATCCAGGGCCTTCACCTTGAGCCACTCCACCATCCCCTTTTTTTGTGATGGGTATTTTCGAGATAGGGTCTCATGAACTCTTTGCCCAGGCTGGCTTCAAACCATGATCCACCTCATATCTGCCTCCTGAGTAGCTAAGATTACAGGCATGAGCCACTGGCACCCAACTACAGTTTCAGTGTTATTAGCCCTTATCAAGGTCCTGGCATGGGCCAGACACTACAGTAAACACTGGGAACAAACGGTGACTGTGGCAGTTCTCTTGCCAGGTTAGAGTAGATTTCTTCTTTCTTCTTAGTCAATATCCATTTAATTTTATGCCCCTTTTAACTGTTATTTTAAGGATTCATGGAGTTAGTTGCTTGCTTTATATTTTTCAGTAGAAGGTAGAAACAGGTACACTCCCATACACCAAGACAAGGTGTACCAGGAAAAATTCTCACCAAATCTTATAAAACATTGCTATTCAGGTGGGATCTGAACAAAATGTTTCTTGATATATAATGAAGTTTGGGTTTAACTGAAAATATCATACAATTCATTAGCATTTAATGTTCTAGTTACCCAAAAGGAAGTAAAATTCCTCAACTCATAATTCATTCTTAAGAAGATAGTACAAATATATTAATTATTCCTCATATTGAGCTTCTTAAATATTTCAAATATGACAATGGTTTCCCAAATTAGCATGAATGAAAGAAAATTAGTATTTGGCAAGTTTTTCTATACAAAATGTCAAATACCTTACCACTCTGTAGAGCCTTCCTCCCCCACCCCACCCAGATTTCAGCCTCTTCAAAATGTCCTCGTAACTGGAGTTGAGAAAAGAGGTCAAAAGGCTGTAGATAGAATAAAGATGCTCTCAGGTCTATTACATAATTGCCATCACACACTAAAGAAAAATCTATAAAAATCATTTCATATGTTACTTTGAAACTTCATTAAATAACACAACAAAATGTTAACAGTGATTTCTATATTATTAGCTAACAACCTACTGCTTGGTGCAGTTGCTTCTTACTTGTATTTATTTCCTTCCTGCAAATTTCCCAAATTTTCTACAATGTATGTTTTAACATTTTAAACCACCACTACCAAAAGGAAACAGAGCTCCATGAAGAAAGAGTTAATTCCTGGATTGGAGCAAGAAATACAGTAGCTAAGCCCAGAGTCTCCAATAGTGTCAAAAAGAAGGAAAGGGCTCAAAGAGCAAAACAAAGTGGTATGAAGAGAGTTTAAAGAGCTCTCAATACAAAGCTGCAGCAAGTTAAGTAACAAAATAACATAGTTTTGGAATATAACCTCCAATATAAAATAAATTTTCATAAATCAATATAGCTTGCTATGGTTTTAATGTGCTCACAAAAACTCATTTGAAATTTAATCCCATTGTGAGGTATTAGGAGGGGGAAAACATAATGGACTATGGGACCTTTGGCAGGCCCTAAGGGTGCAGCCCTAATCCGGTAAGACTGGGGCTTTGTAAGAGTAGAAGACACCTGAACTAGGAGTCCCTCCATGTGATGCCCTGCAATGCCCTGGGAGTCTGCAGAGTCTCCACCAGCAAGAAGGCCCTTATCACATGCAGAGGCCTGGTCCTGAACGTCCCAGCCTTCAGAACTGTGAAGAAACTAACCTTATTCTTTCATTAGTCAGTCTCTTGTATTTAGCTACAGTAACATAAAATGGACTAAGACACTGATACAAATAAATGACTAAATAAACAAATGGGGAAGAGGGAAAAACCTTACCCAGAATAAAAGCACTCAGCAGGCCTGATGGCTCTCCTTTGAAAGCCACCTTGCAAATTTGATCTTTGGTTAACATCTGAGAACTGAGATTCAGAGAAGGTCCCCCACTCCCAGAACTAACAGGAAGACTAACTATGCCTAATTTGTTTCTACATGAAATATGGTGCATGTTAAACACCTACTTTTCTTCTGGGAGTCTAAAATTTGGGTATATGCCAGGCAGGGAATGCCTACATGATCAGCCCAGGTTATAAGCCTGGGCAGTAAGTCTCTAATGACCTTCTTAGGTTGACAACATTTCACATGTGCTGTGACAGCTCATAGCTGGAGAAACAGAAAACAGGAGGCAGGGGAGAGAAGGATGTTTTTACTATGGAGAAACCTGATGGACATTACCTCATCAGAAGATCAAGGTTAACATCACCATGATTAGGTCATCTTAATAATCCCACTCTTCACATAATGGGAAGACAATGTCATTTACTGTATTCTTCCTCCCCAAAGCCTACAAGCCCAGTCTAACCATGAAAAAAAGATCAGCCAAATCCAAATAAACAGTTTACAAACACCCAACCAACACTCCTCAACACTATCAAGGTTATTACAAACAAGGAGGGCTTAAGGTTGTAGCTCAGTGACAGAAAACTTGCCTACCATGTGCATGGCCCTGGGTTCGATTTCCAACACTCTGGGACAAAAATTAATCAGTTAGCTAATTAATCTTTTTAAAAGGACATTTTGTGAAACTGTTACAATCTGAACAGCCTAAGGAGGTAAAGCAACTAAATATAAAGTGATGCCTTGGATTAGAACTTGGAACAGAAAGAGGATAAAACAATAATAACTAAGGAAACACAAAGTATGAGTTTTATTTGTGATAATGTATCAATATTGGCTCATTAACTGTGAACAGTGTATCACAATAATATAAAATGCTAACAATAGTAGAGAGTAAGGCATACATAAAATCTTTGTACTATCCTTATAATTTTTCTATAAATCTAAAAGCATTCCAAAATAAAGTATATTTTATATTTATATTTATAAATATATATGTTATATATAAACTTTCTATAAAATATATAAACTTAATAAACTTTCATTCCAGACTTCTGCTTCTGACCTGATAAGAGTAACTGGAACTGGATTTACTCTTCTACTATAAATGATTACAACAAAATACATGATCAAGGTTTGCAGACAATGAATAACAGACGAAGGGGGACTATAATCCCTGAGAAATGGGAAACAAACTAGAAGAGCACAATAATCACCTCAAATTTCTGCCTACTGGCAATTTTAGGATCACAGTGCAGATGAGGAACCCATGAGAACAAAGATATCACAGAAGTCCCCACGGAATTCCAGAGCACTCTGTAAATACTCTAGAAGGGTTGTGCCTTATAATGGGTCAAAGACTACTTTAAGCTTTCCTTAAGGTAGTTTCAAAGGTTCCAAAACATCCTCAAAAATCAGCTTCAAAGAATCAAGCTGATGTGCAAGTAACTACCTTCTAAGGAAAAAAAAAAAACCAAAACACTCTTTAACATAACAAAATCCAGCACTCAACAATGTCATTAATCCAGCATTAACAGTGTGCAACATCTAATTTAAAACTACTAGATGCATCAAAAAGTAGGAAAATGTGACTGATAAATTAGTCAGTAAAAGCAGATCTAGAAATAACAAAGACTCTTAAAAAAATTAGCAGACTCTTAAAAAACAACATTAAAAACAGGTTCAAGGATTTAAAGGAAAAAATGAACACAATGAGGGGAAATATAGAAGATATATATATTTTAAAAAGACTCAAATAAAACTTTGAGAGAGAAAAAATGAGACAGTAGTCCCTCCCTTATTCACATTCTAAGACCCCTAACAGATACCTGAAAATGCAAACAGTACTGAATCTTACATATTTTTCCCTACACAAACATATCTACGATGAAGTTTAATTTATAAATTAGGCATAAGATTAACAACAAAATAGAACAATCTTAACACTATACTGTAACAAAAGTTAAGTGAATACATGCTCTCTCCCTCAATCTCTCTTCTTATGACCAATGAGATGACACAATGCCTACATTATGGGAAGAAGTGAGATGAATGACAAAGGCTTTGTAATGTAGCTTTAGGTTACCTTGTGTGGGTTATCTGAAAACAAGCACTGTGACACCACAATAGTTAATCTGGTAACTGAGGTGGCTTCTAAATGACTATCAGGTGGGTAGCATATACAGCATGGACACACTGGACAAAGGAATGGTTCATGTCCTGGGCAGAACAGAGCAGGGCAAAGCAAGAGTTCATTATGGTACTCAGAATGGCATGCAATTTAAAGCATATGAATTGTTTATTTCTGAAATTTTTCATTTAATATGTTCACATGGTTGACCTTGGGTAACTGAAAATGAAACCATGGATAAAAGAGCACTAATGTATCCAAAACAATAAATTCTCTGGATGGGACCCAGAGAAGATTACACTACAGGGAAAAAAAAATTTTTTAAAAAAGATCAGTAAGCTGGGAGAAATGGAAACCAAAACTCTTCAAAGCAAAGCACAGACCACAAACCATAATATAATAATAATTATAAAGAAAACAGAGTTCTGGGGCTTTAGTAGGCCCAATATTTTGAGATGAAAATCTACATATGGAATGAACAGAAGATATTATTTAAAGAAATCATGATCAGAATTTTTCTAAAATTGGTTGAATATAAAACCCAGATCCAAAAATCTCAAACAAGAATAAACAAACACACATGCACACACACACATGCTCGTACATGTACACACAATCTGCCAATGCATGTTATAAACTGCTGAAATCTGGTGATAAGGGAAGAATCTTAAAAAGAAAATGATTAATTATACAGAAGAACAAAGATAAAAATAAACAAAGACACCTTATCTGAAACTTAGAAGGCAAAAGAAGGAAGGACATCACTGAAAAACTTAAAACATGAAACTACTGACCTAGAATTCCATATTCAATTAAAATATCTTTCAAAAATAAAAGCAAAATAAAAAATTTCAACAGAGACAAAAATTTGAAAAAAGGATGTAATCAACAGATCTGTACTATTAAAAAAAAAGGTCAAGTTCTTCAGGAGGAAAGAAAATCATAAAAGATGAAAAACTGTATCCACACAGTTCAATGAAGAGTACCAGAAACGTAAAGGCAAAAAAATCCTGTTTCTTCTCATTTTAAATGTTCTTTCTTTAAACGATGATTGACAGACTGGGAAAAGTTCAGTGGTACAGCACTTGCCTAGCATGCACAAGGCCCTAAGCTGAATCCCCAGCAGGAAAAAAAAAAAAAATTCAGGGGGAGAGGGAGGGGGTAAGGGTAGGGGGAGATGGCCCAGACAATGTATGCACATATGAATAAATGAATAAATAAACCAAAAAAAATTGGCTAACAATGTACTGTTGAGTTTCTAATAGATGTAGAAATAAAACATTTGAATACAACAGCACAAAAGATGGAGGGAAGAAACACAAATACATGATTTCAGATTCTTACACTTTATGTAAAACATTATCCTTCCATTGGAAAGCAAGCAGTGATAAGTTGAAATCATTCACTTTTAAACAGAGAGAGAGAGGCAAGAGCCAACAGTAGGATATATAGAAAATACGCAATTAATCCAAAAGAAGGCAAGGAAAAAGGGAGGAAAGTCCAATTTAAACCCAAACATGTCAATCACTACAGTAAATATAAATGGTCTAAACACTGTAAAGGGTAACTTAAGGAAGAAAATAGCTCCAGATGCCCTTGGCAAGGTTAGAATTTAATTGTGGAAATAAAAAGTGTGTGTGTGTGTGTGTGTGTATGGGTGAGAGAGAGACAGACAGTCATGCAGTATAAAATTACAAATTGTGAGCTGGAGGTGTGGCTCAAGTGGTAGAGTGCCTGTCTACCAAGCGTAAGGCCCTGAATTCAAACCCAAGTACTGTAAAAATAAATAAAATAACAAATTGTGATTAAGCACTGTGAAGGAACCAAAGGGGGTGTACATAGCACAGGAGATCAAGAAAGCCCACTCTGAGAATGCCAAATGTAAAATCTATTCTGCAGTCAACTTCCTCTGAAGAATGAACCTTTATGCTTAACCCCAAAAAGAAAAACAGATAAAGTAGCTCTGGGTGAATAGGGTTACAGCAAAAAAAGTCCTGCTCACTTGGCTCTCCACTTGCCTGAGAATATTCTCAAACCCCGAAATACCAAAGGACTCCAAGAAATACTGAAGTAGAAAGTGCCAGGCCTCCTTGGATAGGGAGAGAGAGAGAGAGAGAGAGACGGAAAGGAAGGAAGGAAATAGGATGCTGGAAAAGGGTTTTGAAAGGCCACTTGACTGGTTAGGTGGAAAATGGACATGAGAACACATGGGAAGGTCAAGGGGCTATTTTTAAATTGCTTAGGTGAGAGGTGATGACTAAAACCAAATAGTATATTGGTAACAGTGAGAAAAAAAGATGATGAAAGTAAAGACAAGGACACTGATTCCAATTTTCACTTCTAGGTAATTCCTGATATATTTGGTGACTAACAGGATTAAAAAAATAATTAAATGAACCTGAAATATTCCCAGGTGATTCCCCAGGCTTACAGGACTAGGAAGATCATGGGACTGGGTATGGAATGCCATGCACAGGTCACATGGAGAAGAGCTTTGGTTAAATCTACACTCAGGGATGCAGGCACCAGAGACAAGGGCAGACAGGTTGCAGAACAGGCATGCAACAATTCCTCAAAGCTCTCAAACTATCTTCTGTATTTTATGGGGCATGGGGGAGGATGAATTAATTATTCTCAAGTACTTGCTAGTCAATAATAGCTGCACACACAGATTCAAGTGGAACTGAAGAAAAATAAAGCAGCAAAAAAGAGACAATAATTCAAGTACAGCTTTATGAAAGGTGAACAAAATAAACTAATGAGCTATGAGAGGAGTCCATCCTAAATGACTAGACTAGAACTCTGAATACAAAGTTTTCAGGTCGTGTTCAAAATTAACTGCTTGTGTTAGAGGGATAAATCAAGTTTCTAATCAGAGCCAGAAGTGAATTTCAAATAAAGATGACTTTTTTTTATAACTGCCTTATAGCATTATCAATGCACCGACACACTCACAAATTTGCAACATAAAACCAGTAAGAAAGCGTTTGAACTAAGCACTATCATTTCGGGACTGGATACCTACAGAGCAGCAATTATATTTCTGTGTATGCCACAAGGCACAATTATCGACTGCTATGGTCCTGACACAGGTACTTATTAATAGTCGAATTGTTCCTAGCTTTTGGCTTTAGATCTTTTTTTAACTTTTCACACATAAAAAAAAAATTGCTTCCTCTGTTATGAATGAAAGAGCCAGACCCTCTAATCACACTTTCTTCATTGCTCTCAAAGCCATACCAATGTGTTATCAGCTGGCACAATGTTAAGATATTATTTCTTGAAGAAAGAAAACTTTGCTGTATCTGACTATATTTTAAATGCATTCTTGAGATCCTAGAAGCTCTAGACAGAAACTTTTAATTGCCTGAAATAATGATTTTTAAAGATATCACTAATAAAAATCCAGACTTTAAGATTTCTATCCAAAATGCTCCTAGTTCCTAGGCTTTTATTTTCGTAACAATGTATTTACTGATTGACTGAAAGGAAAGCAAAATTATTCATACTAACATACTTTCACTGTCAGCATGTGTTATACAGCTATTTGGGACAGAAAAAGTACTAATGGTACCTACTAGCAAAGAACAAACTTCCATGGACTGTGAACAGGGTAGAATTAAACTTGCTGTCCAAAGCAGACCTGTTTTGAGCATGAAGTAGGCACTGTTAGCACACACACCAGAAGAGAGGTGCACATCACAGGGCCCAGGGAATATGAGACAGAGCTGCCCTACCCAGGAAGCATTCCTCACAGAGGAAAGGCTCACTTTACCGACAGCCAGCACTTGCCTCTCTGTACTTGTCCTAAACCGTCAGTATCACAGTAAGTCTTCAATCAACTAAACGTCTTCATCATTGGAGCCACCTTTATCTCACTCTTGATTTAAAACAAAGGGATGATTCAGGGAGGCTGCAATGAAACATAAGGAGGAATCTAAACCAGGAAACAAAGAGCCACCAAACTACAGAAGCACGAAATGTAGTCCAAAAATTACACTTAGGAAGTAGAGTGCCAGTAGGGTTAGGAAGAAAAATGAAGAGACCCTTCAGACCCACTAAACTGTTGAGCCCAAAAACCAGAACAATGTTTATCCCTGGTTAACCTTAATCACAATGTGATGTATTAAAATTTATTGGGGGTGGGGAACCCACTTCATACTCTTAATCCTCTAAAGCCCCATTGTAAATCTTGTGAATCAGAATCCATATTTTATAGGATTCCCTAGGAGATTCTTAGTCAAGCACATTAAAGTTTTTAAAAAATTACTTTAAAATATACAATATAGAAGTATCATTTCGTGCTACTGTTGTTTCTAGCATATCTATATGTGCTAGAATAGAAAATGGGGAAATTCAGAAGCCTAATAAAGAGTTCTTATATTCTTTACAAAGAACTTTCTGTATTTTTTGAAAAGTTTCTCCATCAAATAGACTAGAAATATATTCCAGCTTATATACCTCAATTATCAGATAACCTGCCTAATCTTAATTCACGCTTTAGAAGCAGAAAAATCCATTGAAAGTCTAAATGAAAGAACAAAAAGAGTTTAGGTAAGGGAGCTATAATTTACATTTGTAAGATGTTTAATTATTTTGGACTAATGTTTGTCTTTAAAAGTTGTAAATCAGTAATGGAATACTTGCTTTGATGGATGCAGAATTTAGAAAAATATAAACTTTAAAAGACAGACTGATCTTCATCATAATTGTCATCTCTCTGTTAAAAAAAAAAAATCACCTGAGATTGTCTAAGTTAACTTGCACCTAATTTTCTAAGCAACAACAACAACAAAAAAGTGGGCTCAATAAATGTTATGATTACAAATGGTAAGAGTATGTCTCCATCCACATGTGTGGTCAGATGGGAGTGGATGAGTGAACAAAGAGTCCCATTGTGGAAGGGCCATAAAACAACATGATTAATAAAAGCAGCCACTTCAGAACTCCACACCAGGACACAAGGGCATGAAGGAAACGTGGTAAGCTATCAGTTTTTCTCTTTAAAGAATAAACCATCTGGCCTTCCAGAAATGGTCACAGGATCACAGTTTGGTTTTTTTTGGTATTTTTGTTTTTAATCTGGAAATACTTCACAATCATTTGTCATCTCTCTTAAATTTTATATGAGGCAATTGAAATCCTGGAGGATAGAGAATACAGTTGAGTATCAAATCAAATTGAATCTATTGAACCCTACTACACACAAAACAATATCCCAAGGGCTACAGAAAATACAAGTAAGCATAATACTGGACTTCTTTTTCAAAGCCTCCATCCTCCATTTCCCAGGTAAGTTAGCCTACCTGTACTCTTGGATGTCAGAAAGAGACTTTTCTAAATTCTATCTTAGGTACTGAAAAACTTCAGCCCCCAGGCCAAATCTGCCCATCACATGTTTGTGTAAGTAAAGTCCTTCTAGGTCACAGTCACGCACATGCACTCATGAACCATCTGTGGCTGCTTTTGCTCCACAAAGCTAGACTTGGGTACTTGTAACAAAGACTCGTGGCCTTCAAAGCCAAAAATATTTACCTTCTGGCCATTTATAGCAAAAGTTTGCTGAACCCTGTTCTAGATCATCCTTGGCTCGATTTGAGATGTCTTTTTTTCTTTTGAAACTGGGTTTGCCTCCGGAAACCCTGCTCACTGAGCAATGTGCTGGATGGTTGTGAAGGAAAAGTCAGAGGACTAAATATGGCAACTGACAGCAGTTCTTGTTAACAAGTAAAAACTCGCTCTGGCATATGAAGGACAAGAACCAAAGGACAGAAGCCTCCAACTTTTACTCAACAGACATTTACTGACTCTTACTGTGTGTCACTGAGCTAAGCTTTAGGGCTACCCATACAACGCAGACCTCCAAAGAACTAACTAGTAAAAGAGACAATCCTTTTATATTAAATGATAGTGGAAAAGGAGTTAAGAGTCCTAACACAGAGAAAAATCAAGTGGAAGGAGAGGGTGAGGGAAAGAACCCCAATAATCCCGCAGAATCCACACTTCGGGAAGGCATCAGTGCTGGAAGTTGTGGCTATGTACAGTTGCCTCAAGCCAAAGGCCACTATTTGGACCTGGGTGGAGTTAACTCTGGGACCAAC